CTCTCATCTGGAAGAGTATTTGGAGAGAAGTAGTAAATATTCTGTAAATTAACACCCTTGTTGACTTAATGAAAACCTTCTTGCCTTAACAACCTGTATGATTGATTCCTCTTCCCAGCAGTGCTCCCTCCCACAGAGGGAATCGGTGTGTGCTGTGACGGTTGGCTGGAAATGAGTACAGTGAGAGCAGCCGTCCCAGACAAAGAGCAGGCCAAGTCCACAGCATCCTCCGCAGCACTGGGATTGCTGGGTGCTACACTCGTGTTTGTGCTGCAGCCACAGGAGATCTGCCACCAGCAAGGGCAGAGCTGAGATTTATGAAAAGGAACTGTGGTTTAAACAAAACATGAACAGCCTCAGCGCACTGTGGTTCAGCTGGACTCAGCTCACTCTTTGCCTCTAAAGCTTCTTGTTACCAGGAGCTCAACTACAAAGACATAGCTCCTTTCATGCAATGTTCTGCCAGGCTGGGTCACAAGTGCACTACTGAGAGCACAGGTCTACCCTGTATCTACCACCAGGCCTTCCTCTGCCTCTCTGTGGGAGACAGCAGTCCCTCTTCTTTATTATAAAGAATTCTGTGCAGTGAACTGCTAAACCATCCAGAATTTCAGCCATCTGCGAAACAACTATAAAGACAATTGCTCTGTCAGCTCCTTCTCATGCCTCTTCTGTGGATCTGCATGTATAAGCCCGTCAGTGGCTCTGGGCTAGCAGATTGTTTTGTTATCATCAATGACAAGTTTGTCAAAAGTGAGTATCTTGCTGCCATTTTATATATATTTTGAGGCATGCTGAGAGGCTGTGCATGCTGTGTAGTGCGATCAAACGAGGAGACGCAAGGAGGGTCCGCTCTGAATCTGCCCTGGTTAATCCTGAAAAATAGTTGTTTCCAGCAGCTTGGTTGGTAGGAGTGAACCGTGAGGATCAGTCCAAAGCTGGCCTTTGCTGTTTTATAGGAACTATTTTATATATAGGCCTTCTGCTGTTGCAAAGAATACAGAAAGGGTCTTTCCTTCAGCTGGGGTTGAGCAAAACGAGAAGGAGCAGGGAGAGTTGGTAGTGCTCACCTTGCTGATGTGCCCTACAGTAGGTTTCAACCAGGATCTTGTCTTTGCATGGGATTTTATACTGCAAACAGCTATTCTATGTTTGCTCTTTGATGAGGAAACAAGGCCACTCTAATTAGCACAGCCTGGGCAGCAGTTTGTAGTGCCCACAGGCCGGGTACTCCTGGTGCTGCTTCTGGCAGAGGTGAAGGGCAGACTGGGTTGCAGAGGCGTGAATGAACTTGCATAAAGGCAGCTGGCCTTTTGGGAGCTGCTTTAAAGCATTTTGACGACATCCTTTCCTTACCCCCTTGTACCTCTCCTACCTCTCCTTCAGATTTCAGCACACACGGCTTCCACACTCAGACCTGTACATTTAGAGCAAGCGTATTTTTTGCGGTGGTTTTGCAGTTGCTCTGGGTTGATAATTTCTGCTGGTGCCACCACTGTGCCCTGTCCTGCCCCCAGAGTGGTGCAGAGTGGGGGAGCTGGTAGGGAGCACCCCCCAAGGGGCAGCAACCCTGATTCCCCATGACCAACTGCACAGGGCAGGGACAGTCCTGGGCTGGGACCTGCAACAGAAAGGTGTTTCGTGGAGATCTGGTGGGGTAGAAAAGAGGAACCAACAGGCAGGTGCATTGATGTCTGCTATGCTAGAGGTATTTCTGTTGAAGTTATATCATTAAATGGGGAACGTATAGCAGAAACATCAACCATGAACATTGTCTCAATGTCCCTGGGGTAAATGGCTGTGCCAGCAAGGGTTTCTCTGTGTAAGAGGAACTGCAAATGAAGGAGCACGGCACTCAAGGCAAGAGAGATTTTGGTCAGTGTGTGAAAAGGAAAGAGTTGACACAATATTTCCTCTCTTGAGCAAGAGGCAGCTCAGCTCTCTGTGTAGCTTAACTCCATGTGGGCCCTGGAGCCACTATCAAGCATGGAGCAGAGGTGCTGGCACCGGGAGAGCTCAGATGGGAGTAGAGGCAGGCACCCATGACAAGAAGCAGCAGCATCAGCTGCTCCCACCAATGTACCCCCTTGCTTCCCTGTCTGGGTTCCTCCTCCCCCTCCCTTTTAAGAAAAAGACTGTTTGTCATTTGCTTCATATTTTTGGGAATAGGGAAAATTTGTTCACTGAGCTCTGGTTTAGCTTAATTTTCCTATGTTTCTACGTGGGAGACCTCCACCAGGGCTATTTATAATGACAGTGTTAAATCTGAGGTCAGGCATTGTTGCTGGCTGTGATGGCTGGCAGAAGGTTTGCCCTCTAATCCTACGGCTGCTTTTGCATGTCCTTCTCCCGCACAATTCAGGGTGAAATGTTGCTGTTCTGTTTATGGCTTGGTTTTACACTCTGGTTAAACAAGACAGGTACATGTGCTAATTAACAGGGCTTGTTTGTTCTTCATCAGATGTGACCTTACACATGTGGAAAGTGTTTTCCACCTCTCTAAAACATACAAGCAAAAAAATGGTAAAACCAAGTTAGAGCCACACCAACCTAGAGGTAAAAGCTGCCAGAAAGATAAAATGTCATCCAAACACGTCAGGACTGAGCCACGGGATGAGTCCAGAAAGCAGCTCTCCAGCAGTGTGGCCTGCCAAGAAATCAGGTGCCTCTGTGGCTGCTGCCATCAAGGTTTGGGGTTTTTTTTAGCGGTGTCACTTGAAATATGGCTGTGAGCATAATCTGAAGCAAAAGGCCAATGGGTGGCCCTCCCACCAAGGCTGGCTCCTGGCAGCTCCACCTCTTCCTGCCCACTCCCAGCTGCACTGACACATAGCTGTGTTCAAACAGCTTTCTCTCCCTCTGCTTTTTCACAGAACCTCTGCCTTTCAGCTGGTGAACAGGGAGAAGATGAGCCACTTCTCATGGCCTTCTCCACTCCCAGGGATGGAGGCCCTTCAGACCTTTAATGGCATCTTGATTATCCAAATCCAAATTTCTTTAAAGACTTTCTTTGTTCTAATTGTTAATAGCTCATGCATCATATGTCCATGCTAGAACCATGTGGATTTGGCATTTGCAGATATGCAGGAGGAAGCGCAGTGAAAGGAACCATTTTCTCAGTAACAATCTCTGCTGAGGGCTGTGTTTATGTCAAGCTGTGCTCTCCTGTTTCAGCCCATAGACAGGGTGGTGTGTTTTTAATACACAGAGTGGTGTGTTTTTCAGTGAATTCCACCGCTGTGGGCTTTCCTGATTTTTTGGTTACTGCTTGGCTAACAAAAATGCCCAGGTCCAGACCAAGCCTTGCTTCTCTGGTGGGCTTCTCCCATGTTGCTGCCCATTAAGGGTTCCCATGAGATTGAGAGGTGCAACCACTGCTGTAAGATTGGGAAAAAATTGCAGTGCCTCCAGATATGTTTGCTTTTTAAGCTTCTGCCTGCTGTTCTGATGGGTAGCTAGTGTATGCCAGAAGCTTTCAAATCCTCCTGCTCAACAAGGTGTTACTTCCCCCATCCTCACCAGGCTGGCACTGCCTCATATTTTGCCAATGTGAAATCCTGCATTGGCACAACCCCCATAAGTATGTTAATTTGTTGGCATCACTTGTGATGTTGCTTGGCCTAGTCCTTAATTGTGTGAACAGCAAGATAGCAGTGATATTAGGCAGAGTAGTAGTCTCCCCTTATACTTCAAGAAGGAAGTTTCCACTGCAAAGAGTGATATCGTGACAGGTGATTTTTCAATGTCTCTTTTATGAAAAAACAAAGAGAAGAAGAATTTGCCTTTAAAGACATAAAACTGCCTGTCTGAGCTGGTGCACAGCAGTGTGGCAGCTCCTGGCACAGCAGCCTCACCCCCAGTATCACCAGGATGCCTGGATGGCTGCTCCAGCTGTGCTCCCTCCCCTCAACAGACTGAGCTCCCAAATCTTACGGGCACAGAAAGTAATGGAAAATTCTGT